GGCGGGCGCGGCGCACCACCTGTCCGACTTCGCTCGCCGCTTCGAGGAGCTCGGCGGCGGCGCTCTCGGCGCGCCCCCGCCGCACCCGCACGCGTCCATTGCTGAAGACGCCCTCCTCAAGCGCGCGTCGCTCGACGCGGGCAACCCTGCAGCAGCCGCCGCCGCCGCGGCCGCCGCGTTTGGCGGGTTTGGTGGGCTGCTGGGCGGCGGCGGATATCCTGCGCCCATGAGCACCAGCGCGGCGCTGCAGAACCTTGCGAAGGCGCAGGCGGCGCTGGGCCAGTTCGGCATGGGCATGGGCGGGATGGGCATGGGCATGGGGCTGGACGTGCCAATGTTCAACGCAGCCTATACAGGTGGGCGCGGCCTCCAAGCGTCCAAGCTTGCGCGCGCTCGCCCGCCGCGTACCTGCCTGCTGCTGCCGCCTGCTGCCGCCTGCTGCAGCTGCTTTTGCTCTGCCGCGTCCTGTCCACCCTAGGTAGCACTGGCTGACGCGCTCTTGCGTGCCCCCACTCCCCTTGCCTGCTTCGCGTCACCCCCTTGGATGGTTCAAATCGCAGATGGCATGTTCAAGGCCCCCATGGCCCAGCAGGCAATGGCCGGCCGCAAGTCCCTGGACTCCTCGCTCCACGCCCACGGCCACGCCGCCGCCGCGGCCGCGGCCGCCGTCGCGGCCGCTTCGGCCGCCGCCGCGCGCAGCCAGCAGCAGCAGGTGCAGCAGCAGCAGCAGGCGGCGCAGCAGCAACAGTCGCAGCAGCAGCAGCAGCAGCACCAGGCGGCACCGTCGCCGTCGCGGCACTCAATGGAGAATCCCGCGATATCCAATGCGCGCGCGGGGCCTCGGATATTTGTGGGCAAGCTGACCAAGGACACCACCGAGGCTGACGTCAAGGAGTACTTCAGCAGGTGTGTGTGCGCGAATGCGTGTGTGTGTGTGTGTGTGTGTGTGAGTGTGTATGTGTGCGCCGGGGCGTTGAGCTGTTGACCGGCGGTGGTGGGCAGGAGACGCGCGAGAGTGGTGAGCGCACACATACACACTGAAACACACAAAACAAGTGCAAACGTCTCTGCGCGCTTGTGCTTCGTCTGCGTTATATGGCATGCCGCACGCAAAAACGGGCGTCGTGCACGGCTCGCCACCACTCACCCTGCCATGCAACTGCTTCGCCTCAATCCCCTCCTCAAGGTTTGGCTATGTGATGGACGTCTACATGCCCAAGTCGAAGGACAACAAGGCGGAGCACCGCGGCTTTGGCTTCGTGACCTTTGAGACAGACGCCGCCATCAAGCGCGTCGTCGGCGCCGGCTCCCACCGCCTGCGCAGCTCCACAATAGCGATCGACATAGCCATGCCGAAAGAGGACGACTCGAGCGGCAGCGGCGGCGTGGGGGCTGGCAACGGCGCCGGCGGGCAGCTGCCCGCGTCGCAGGCGCAGGCGCACGCCAACGCCCAGGCGGCGGCCGCCGCCGCGGCCGCGGCGGCCGCGTTCGACCCCTCCTCGGCGTTCGCCGGCTTTGGCGGCGGCGCGTTTGGCGGGATGCCGCCAACACCCGGGTTCGACGCCGCGGCCGCGGCGGTGGCGGGGCTGGCAGCGGCGCGGCAATTCCAGGCCGCGCAGCTGCCGATGATGTGAGCCGGACAGCCGGGCTCCTGGGCCGGCCGGCGGGCCCAAGCATGCGTGCAGCAGACGGCAGGGCTGCAAACGGCCATCTCGGGCGGGGCAGTCTCGGCGCGGCGGTGGCGCGGGGCTGCCCGTCTGCAATGCTGAGTACGTTCGGGCACAGCCCCCGGCCTCCTGCGCTGCCTGCCTTCTTCGCTCGCCACGCGTGCCCCGTGCGCTCGGCGGGCCCTGCTGCTTCGCAGCTCCAACGGCGCGGCGCCCGCCTTCTGGCACGCGTCGTCTCGCGGCGGGGCCCCTGCCCGGCGGGCGCCGCGCGCCTGCCTCCTCACCACTGATCCGCGATGACGCCTGTTGGTACTAATCGAATGGAACGGAATCCCTGGTTTCGATCTGACAGATTGCACGGCCCCTGTTCAAAGCTTGCCGCGAGCAACGATCTTTCGCCATACACGTGTGGGGGTAGCGGCGCCACGCCGCCCCCGGCGGCCGTCCTGAGCCCGGTGCATCAAGAGACCCTGCCTTCGGCAACTGGGGCGCTTGGCTTACTAGTGGCATCACGCGCTCGTGCGTGTGTGTTTGTGTGGGTGTGGGTGTGTGGATGTGCGCGCGTGCACACATGTGTGTGCGCGTGTGCGTTTGTTCCCTATCGCATAATGAGGTCTGATGCTCCCAGCGAGCGAACACTTCCCTTGTGGCGGCGGCCGCGCCTGCCGCGCCCCTTTTTGGCCGACGCGGGCGGGCGCGACCTTCGAGGCTGCGCGTGCCCGTGCATGTCTGCAATGTGGATAGTCCCCCAAGAGACGTGACGACCGCGCCGCAACCCGCCATGCACGCGCCGGCTACGGCCGCTGCGGCGGCGGCTGCAGCGCCACGGAGAGGCCGACAGGGAAGCCGTCAGGAAGCCAACCGCGCGCCGCCCGCGGGGCCACGGGCCCCGGTCCTGTCCCAAGGCGGGGGCGCCAGCTGTCATGCCCACCGAATGTTGTGATGTCCCCATTTTTCCCGGCCGCGTCTGCAAAGGAACGACAGGGCATCCCTGCGGTCGGCCGCGGCGGCCTCGGTAGCCCTGCGGTCCGGCCCGGGGCGGCGCCAGCAGCGGCGCAGTCCGGGCCGAAAGCAGACCGACGGCCCGCGGTGCAGTCCAGGCCCGCACCCGCGAGGCCTTTCGCCACCCCAGGGGCGCCCGCGCGGCCTGACCCTTGCGCCGCCTTTGCCTGCTGGAAATCGGGCCCTTGGGCTCCGCTCCTCCGCGCCAAGCAAGTTCTGAGTTCCTCTGCCCACCATGGGCGCATCGTGCCCCTCAAGTGTCGAGACAAGAGTTTCCCTCGCCTGCCTGCCAGCAGAACCCCACACACAATTACATGGAAGCGTGCGGAGCGGGGCGCGCTGCCGCGCCCCTCCCGCGCGCGAGGAGAGTGCATGGGCGTGCGCACGCCCCCCCGTCGGTCCGAGCGCACACTGGTGCCGCGCGCGCCGCCGCGACGCCGTTTATGCGCGCGCAAGCACGAGAAGACGTGGAGGGGTTTTTCAAACGCGCGCGACGGCGCGCGCGCGAGCGCGCTTCTTTCACGGGCACCCCTTGTTGGGCGGCCCCGCAGCGAAGAGACTCGGCAGGGAAATTGAGGCAGACTTCCGGGCGCGGGCGCGGCACAGAGCACCCGTCTGCGGCCGGCTTTCGGCGGCCACGTTGCGGCCCGTTTTGGCATGCTTGGCAATCACATAATTTCCGCACGATCGGGCACCCATGCGAGACCACATTGCGAGGAGCAGCGCGAGCAGTCAGGAGCTCGCCTCAGCACTTGCGGACCGACTGTGCGCCACACGGGTGTATGTACATCCCTGGAAGCCAGACCAGAGTGCACGCGGCCGGCCACCCCTGGCAGCCGCCCTACGCCCGGCTCATGAGGGCCGCGCGGCGCCAGGGACGCTGGGTGGCCGGGTTGGCGGCGCTCTCTCGCCTCCTGTACGCTTGAATTTCTCTTTGGCTGCTGGGCGGACCGCGGTTCCAAGGCCGCTTGGCGTGTCCAGGGCCGCGGCCTTGTGGGTGGATGCAGCCCTCCGGGTCCTCCAGTCTTGGGGCGCCGCCAGACCGCGGCCCCCTCCCTGAACTGTTCCGGCTGCGTCCGAGTCTCTGCGTGTGTTTGCGTGCGTCTCAAGTCTGCCAAGGATCAAGTTTGCCTCCCAGCCGTCCCGTCCCACTCTTTGCTGACAGCAGCAGGCCGTTGCCCCCGACAAGCCCCAATTTTTGGGTCCCGGCGCCGCCCACACCCCCGCCTCGTCTTGGCCCGCACCCGCCGCGCGCCCACCCGAGCGCTCGGCGGGCGGCCCCGGTTGTCGCCGTGTTATGGAGTGTTGTGTTTTGGCCCGAAGGAGAATTTGTTTCTGCAGCCGCCCAAGGCCTACGCCTCTCATCAAGCGTGCAAACATCTTGGTGGGAGCGGAGGAGGACGGCGGCACGGCGCAACGCCAAACAGCACTTTACAGAGGCGCCGTGTCACCCGCAACGATGCGCTCGAAATGTTGACCCGCACCCCAATACACCATGCGCTGCTCACAAGCGGGCGCGCGCGTGCGCCCGACAACGGCGCGCCTCCCTTTTTGAGCCGTGCTCTGGTCGTCGTCTTCAGTCAGGAGAGGGGTTTGTAATGGTTGGCCCTCCCTCTCGGCCTGTTCACCGCTCACGCAGCGCTGATCAGGGATCCTTGGAGATGCGTATGATGGGTACAGATGCGGCGCGGCATGCACGTGCCCTCAGCACCAGCGACTAGCTGAGTCAAGGGCGTCTGAGTGCGCTCTGCAGATGACACTGCTGGACTGACCACGCAGCACAGCGTGCACAGCATGCAGCCCAGGCGTGCTGCATATGAGGTCTGGGCAACTGTTTCAAAATTCAAAATTTCGTCTGCGTGTCATGTGTGCCCTGCGCTGTCCATGGCGTGTCAGCAGCAGGCCTGGGGCCCACCAAGGTTTTCAAGGTTGTGGACTGCGACAGGTCAGCCTTCCGCTCCGGCTTCAAAGTTAGTCGATGTCAGTACAGCATGATACATATCACTTTCACGCTCGTGCCTGTGCGTTTTTACATATCCCATAGCAAAACCAGCTTGACATTCGAATCACTCGGTCACCTTCATCGATTATTTGATCAACCCAGCCGGTCGTGTGTTCATTATCTTGAGAACCATGCCCATTAATGCTTGCAGACCTTCGGGCAGCGAGGAAGGGGACTATGACGACGCCGCCCTTTCGGCACGCAGCACAGGCAGCGGCGCCAGCATGAGCAGCACACCCGGCGTGTGCCGCGGCGCCTCCCCCTCTGCCATGCTGCCGCCTCCATACCCCACACTGCTGCCTCAACCAAGCATGGTCATCCGCATGCTGCAGGTCAGCAAGTACAAGTGCCCGTCGGTTGCCGAACCACCCCCATGCGCCCAACCACATCATGCTGGGCACAGTACCCAAAGCGCACCCATGCATCCCCTATGCATGCATGCAAGCGGTCCCGCCCACATGCCATGCATACATCCTAGCATGGCGCATCAACACCACCCGCTGCGGCCGCCGCATGACCGCAGGGTTGCGGGGACGTCGATCCCAGGGATGTGGTGGTGCTGCTCCCAGGGCCTCTGCTGCACTCTGAATCGCTGGACCTGACAGCCTACACCTTGCCCCCCCGCGGCCCCTCTCCGCCCTCGGCCTCCGCCGGGCCCGGGCCGGCTGCGGCCGCGGGCGCGCGCGTCGCCCGGCCACTGCTTGCGTCGGCGTTCGTGCGCGGGGTCGCGGCTGCGCCTTGGATGGTCGCCCCGCCTCCGCCCAGCGGCGCGCGGCCGCCTACCTCGGCAGGCGCGCCAAACAGTGGCGTGGGCGGCAGTCGAGCGACGCCCGGAGCTGCAGCTGGAAACGGCTCCTGCATGGGCAGCTATGCTTTCAGCGCAGACGGCGCATCGGCCCCCCGCGGTGCCCGGCCGCAGCAGGCACACCCACAAGCAACTGTCAAGGAGCCTTGTGCAGCTGCACACCACGAGTGCAGCGGCAGCAGCGGCGATGCAAGCAGCTGCATTGCGCAAGAGCCAAACTTCCAGCCTCCACGGCAGCGCCCGACGGCCTCGCAGCTGCGCCGCGCGCGCCGCGGCCAGGCCCGCGCAGCTCGCGCTGAGGCGGCCAGCGGCGCGAGACTCGCTGCCGCGACCTCACCTGTGGGTTCAGACGCCAGGCTGGGGCAGGCGCAGCAGCAGCAGCAGCAGCACGCCAGGGCCGACCTGCACCGCTTGGAGTCGCTGCCAGACGCGCCGGGGGCAGCGGCTGCGGCGCTGTCGTGGTGCCATGTGCAGCACGCGCGTGGACGGGTGCCGGAGCTTGATGACAAAACGGTGCAGGTGCGCGGGTGCGGCGACCATGCATGAGGGCGCCTGCTGCTCATTGGGCTTCCTATGTACCTGCCTCCGTCTCCTAGGGAGCCTGTGATGCGCGCGTGTTCAAAACAAGTACCATGGTGCTGGGGATAAGGCGCTTGTGTTGCTCTGAGTGGCGCCTGCCGCGGCCACCTGGCCGCCACTCGTGCCTGTGTTGGCTCACCAGGACCGACAATCGGCCGGGTCCTGCGGCATGGTCTGCGCCGCCGCTCTTCCCTCACGCGCAGGAGTTGGTGAGGCTTCAGCTGCAGGCGCGCCAGCCGATACGCGCCCCATGGTACCGCGCCGGGGCGGCGGCCGCAGGCGCGGGCGCGGGCCCAAATCTGAGCGCTGGCACGGGCGCAGGTGCAGCACAGGCGGCGGGGCCCGTCGACGACTGTGCTCATCCCCCGGCCGAAACTGCGTCGTCTGAGGAGCTGGGTCGCACACTGGGGCAGGGCGGCGTGCTCTGCCTGCAGGGCGGGCAGAGCGGCGAGCAGGTGCCAAGCGAAGTGGACGAGCAGCAGCGCCCGCCCGGGAGTCCAGCAGCCGGGCTGGCTGCAGCGCCTGCGCCGCGCTTGCGCCGCCCGCTGGCGGAGCGACAGGCACAGAATCAGCAGGATAAGCAGCATCAGCAGCAGCAGAAACAGCACGAGAGTGGGCTGCAGGGGCAGCAGCAGGTGCAGGAGCAGGAGCAGCGGCAAGAGCAGCAGCAGGAGCAGCAGCAGGAGCAACAGGGATCCAGCAGCCTGCTGCATGTCACAGTGAGCTGGGCATCTGCGAGGCCGGTAGCGCCGACTGCAACCAAGAAGGGCCCTTTGCCCTGTGCGCATGGGGCCGACGCCAGCAGCACCTCGGGAGTCCGCGAGGCGGGCCCACCGCAGCAGCGGCAGAAACAGCAACAAGGTGCGGTGGATGGCGGCGGCTGGGACGCAGGGGACAGCGGCCGCCGGCACGGCGATGCCTCGGCGCACCAGGATGCTGCCAGCAGCCGCTGCGGCGCAGCAGCGACGGCCGAAGTCGCAGGCAGCAGCAGCGGCAGAGGCGCAGGGACGGGTGGCGCCGACGTACGATTGGGGGCGGCCGGAGCGGGGCTGGCCGCAACGGGCACTGGCGTCTTCTTGCCGCCTGGGTGGCTGGTCGGGCAGCAAGTGTGCACGTGATCCCAGATTTCCGCTGAGCCATGCGCTTCTAATTTCTGCCTGCGCTTGTTTATGCATGCATGCTGAATGCGTATTTGTTTGTGATCTGATTTACGGCTGTGACGTTCCACCCCCAATGATCGGCCAGCTGCGCATTGTGCGCCGCGACGCAGCAATCGCCCCTGGATTGAAAACCAGCGTGGGACCTCTTGAGCCAATGCTCCAAGGGGGCAGCGAGGGCATGCGTGGGACGCAAAAGCTCCAACACGTGTCGTATAATCGTGATAGCGACCTTGCCTGTGAGCCTTGTAGCGGAAGCCGGCGCGTTTGCGTGCACACGCGTCCGTTGCGCCACCATTACCGCACCAGCCCCGAACGGTGCAGTCCAGTCCGGAAAACAGGCTCTCCGAGCCCACCAGGGGCGACGCACCAGAGCCGCAGCAGGCATGCCTCATATGCCGCAGTTTAAATACAGGGAAGTATATCGCAGAAGCAGCTTGGCAAGCGATCGGGGTGCACAGCAAGACACAATTTCGAATCGCAGTGCTGCTCAAGTCGGTTGGCAGTGACGCCTGCCAGCGTCACTGCTGTCTCCGCGGCGTGGCGCAAGCTCTCCGGCAAAAACCAGCGATCAAGAATGTTCCCATAAATTATTCACACCGGTGAGCAGCGTGAGCGGCGCAGTGAGGACGGGTGAGTTCCCTGACCCCAACGCATACAGATGCGATCGAAGCACTGACCTGACACTTTCAACACTCACAGGTGCTCTTACTGAACCCATACATCCCCATGCATCCTGCCGCGCTCTTGATGCCGAAGAATGCGTCCATTTCACCTGGCGCGTTCCAGTAGGGGGCCGCGGCGCCGCGTGCTGACGCCTCGTGTAGACTTCTGCCTTCTTGCTCTAGTGTACGTCGAGGTGTGTGGGGGAGCGGGCCAAAGAACGGCCTACGGAGGGTCCCGCCTCAGTGCATATGGCCGCTGTTGCGGCATGCCAGCGACGCGCCGAATGATAGAGTGTTATATGCTTCATCCAACGGCGTTGCTGATAGGGCGCGAAAGTTGCTCTCGAGTGATCTGGGCGCCATGCGCTTCCTCGACTTGCAACAGTGTGTCCTCTGGAGCTGCTGCGTCCTCTCCAGCACCTACTCCGAAAGCGTCGCGGGCCATCGCTACCTGCAGCGCGAGACGGTGCGAGAGGGTTGCTCTGAGCCCGTCGTGCGGCCAACAACACTTCCGGGGCTCCTCCAGCTGGCGGCGCTCGCAGCGGCCGTGGGCGCCGCCTGGCGCGCGCCGGCAGCTCCCTCGCCGTTTTCTTTCATACCCACCTCGCGCTCATACATGCTGGGCCATTTTGACGCGCTCACCCCTCCCTCAGGGCAACCTCAAGTGCTTTGCCAGCAGCAGCGGCCCCGCCGCCGCCGAGCCGGCAGACGCGCCCCCGCCGCTCTTAGCCGACCCCCAGATTGAGTGGGAGGAGCGCTGGCGCCAGCAGCAGCAGCTCGAGGGCTTTAGCGAGCTCGCGTGCTCGGCCCATCAGACCCCGGAGCTCGGGCAGCTGCGCGCACTGCTGCTGGTGCGCGCGGGCAGTTGAGGCGGCGCTTGCCCGCCATTAGTGTGAATTTGGGTGCCGCCTGCCGGGCGCCCCCCCCCCCTCTGTGCCGCTCCGCTGCCTGCCGCCGGGCCCCTTTGCTCTCCGGCCGTCACACTTTCCTTAACCCCCCCTCCTGTGCGCCTCCCGCCGTGGCCTCGTTTTCATGCAGGAGGTCAAAGGCCCGCCGGCGCCCTTCACTGGCGTCGCCGCCATCGACTGAGCAGCCCGCTCCAAAGCAGCTTAGCCCCCGTGCACCATAGACAGGCCCGCCCCTGACTCTCAGGGATCCCGCCAAAGCAGAGGAGCGCCGCCGAACAGGCAGCCGCCCGGAAGCCAGTCCGCGGCCCTAGGGCCCAGCCAGACAGCCCAGCGCAAGCCTGCCAGAATGGAGGTCGGCGGCTGCGAGCCTGACGAGCACAGGGGCCGGCGGCGGTGGCTGCCCGTCCCACTTCCGCGCGTGAGCCTCCCCCTCCTCGGACTGGGCGGCGCCGCGCGCGCCGCCCGGCGCCGGCGCCGCGCGGCCGGCGTGGCCAGCGCCGCAGGCGGCAAGAGCCGCTTTGCTGCCGGGGCGGCGGCCGTCCCCTGCTGCGCCCAGCAGCCGCTGGTGCTTGCCACCCTGACCGC